GGCGGCCATGCAGACTGTGGCAGGAGGACGGCCTCTCCGGCGGGTGGTCGGGCCAGAGGGCGTCACCCGGCTGGTGGTCGGGCCGGGGAAGTGCAAGCCTGGCCGCGGTGGTCAGCGGCCATGCAGGATGTGGCAGGTGGATGGCCTCTCCGGCTGGTGGTCTGCTGGAGGCCCCCGGCAGGTGGTGGGGCCGGGGGGAGGGCCCCTCCAGAAGGTGGTAGTCCGGAGGTGGCCCTCTAGCCGATGGTCTCTGGCCGAAGTTCATATCGTCTGTGGGCATAATGTAGAAAGAACACGAGACTGAGTGTCTGGATTAAATGTACATTGTGTACCCATAACAGAGATGGGGACGGCAGAGACTCTCTGCTACTTGTGGTCCACAGATCATAAAACGATACTTCCATTCGTCAATTTCATTTGTTGCTTCTCGGATTGAAAAAAAATGTGACAGGGCAAAAAAAATATAAAGATAGGCCTCGCTAGACATCCTATGATAGCCCCAAATGTTATGATAGGAGCCATGAAGTCAACATACAAAACGTGGGTTGGTACCTCGGGTGATACGAAATACAACCTGCATGTTAAAATTCTACATGTATTTTATATATACCAAACTTACAGCTCTCCTTCGTTCTTCTGCAGCTTCCACTGCCAACCTATTACGTGCTGTAATAGCTGTCATCCTGCGGGGTGGACGCAATTGCTAGAAAGGGATAAAAGGGGGTTGTTACAATCATGATCGGAGGAATTTGTAACATATAAACATTCCTCAGATATATGGAGAGAGTTTAATTGACACAACATACTAGTAAGTACATCGACGTAACAGGTCTTTAAATCATACAGACAGACGAGGTGTGTACGAAAATGTACGTAGAAGACTATGGAAAGACCACGAAATGCACCAAATGCATTATACACTATATTTAAATCATGTCACAGCAGCGCAGAAGAAGTCAAGCGTTAATAACCTGATTAAAAAATTGAATGTGAAAAAAATTACCTACTAAAGGGCAGCAGGACAAATTTGAAAAAAAATTAAACTAGAGTTCGATGATCTCATACCTCCATGACATGTGTATTGTTTTCATAAATCTTACGCATGGTGATGACCACCTGTAATTGGCTTACATTTATCACCGCTTATATTCAAATCATATGAGGCCATTTGCATATATTGTATCAATTGATCATACTCTCCACCAAATGACAGGGTTATCTTAAGAAATAAGGCTATTCTAGCGTTTCCTCATAAATTATGCAAATGAGGTCCTGATTGACATAAATTATGTTTAGTGATGTTCACCTTCACTGAACTTCCAATTATGGCAAGTATTAAATTCCAAGCAGTTACCACCATAAAATTGTACCAATTTGCCATTTATTATGCAAATTAGGTCTTCCTTTACATAATCGATATCTGCCAATTATCTTGTCGTTCTCACTAACATATGTCTATAGAGTTTTATAGCCCTAATATGAAATACAGCTGATTTATAGAATTGCCTCATTAATTATGCAAATTAGATCCTGATTTGCATAATTATATTTTGATTATGTCAAGCATCACTTAAGCTACCTACATACCAAAATTCATGATGATCCATCAAACGGTTGTTCAGTTATCCTCTCTCG